CTTGGTCGCAGTCGCCGTAAAAGACTGCTGCTGCCCAGGTAATCCAAGATGATCTCAAAGACATCGGCGTCGGTATTCATAATTCTGCATCCCTGTACGAGACGCGCGCGCAGTACTGGACATGCCTTCAGGGCCGAGCCAGGGATATGGATAAAGCGCGCATAGGGTGGTGTACCCACTCGAACTTGGATATTGTTGGTATCCGGAGCTCTAATGCGCACCTTCGCCGGAGAAGTATAGACAGTGGTAATGTCTGCACTTGAGGAGCTCGTAGAGGACCGTCCGTTAGAGTAAGACCGATCACCGAGTGTCGCCTGAAGTGACGTGAGCATTGTCGAGATTCAATTAGGGGTTCTGTTCGGGTTGAAAGCGTGGGGTAGCAGGAGTTGAATATTGAGGCGGGTAGATAGTGCCACCAATTTCTAATGTTTGTTGAAAGCTGGAGAAGTGAATGAGAAAGTGGTGCAGCATTAATACACATGACCTGTATGAGAGGTCCCATGGGCAGGCCTGTCAATACGACTTGAGAGGTTCAGGATTCGCGATTCCTCTGGTTCAGTGGTGAGCGAACCAAGGTACATGCTTCGTTTCATTATCTACACATCTTGCTTTATTTCAAGCTGTGTCTGACGTTGGGCATCGGGAGAAGCTCACATATGTTGAACACATCCTTTCAAGAATAACTCAGCATGGTGTACATGAAGCCGCATAGTCTCCGTACTCATGGAAGCCATATCATACGGGTGCCTGCAGATGTTGCGAACGCCGAGGATGGGTGTAAACAACACCTTGTGAGAGTAGCACCGCAAACTTCATCCGCTGTGTAATGCTGGCATCTGGGTTGGCCGATGGAACGAACGTTCGCGAAGATTCATTGCACGGCGAGCATGGTGTCGTGGGAGCCACAGTAAAATACTGCTGCGTGACCTATGAGCAGCTCGAAGTTACCAACAGCGATTGCTGGATCCCAATTGGGAAGCTCCTCGGAATGCACGGTCCATTTGCGTTGGTAAAGAAGGCGGTGCTACGGATACGCAGACGTAACTGTTGTGCGAAGGGGTGCACTCTTGATCTGCAAAGATTCAGTGGTGATGGAGGCTGATGCCCAGGTGTAGAAGGGGGCAAAGGGAGCCGGCACGCCAGGATCAGGAGACGAATGTGCACGGCCCACACGCTAGTCGGCCCGATGCCAAATGCAAACCTCGCGTCATTGCCCCTACATCTCAACCACGCGCAACAGTTACTCGCGCCTCATGTTTGCATCCAAGATCGCCGGGTCGTCATTGCGGTCCGCGTGCTACGCATCTCGGTTTCCGGCAGTTTCTACCTTCCGTCCTGCTGTATCACAACTCCGTCACCTTTCCAAAAACCTCGTACATCGTGACCAGCAAAGGAATGATGCCCAAAAGCCTACACACGAGCAACCAACTGTCTTGGTAGACGTATCACCAACCATCGATCATACTGCCGAAAACGCAACACCTGAAAGTCCTAAGAGGGTTAGGTATCTGCGCCCCGCACTATGGGCTCTTTCGGTATCCTGCGGCATATTCTACGGTCTCGCCTATCTAGAGGCCAAGAGGGAGCTCAAAACAAAGCCGACATCTAGTGGAGGGTGGTTTCAGGCACCGCAATGGAACACAACACAACGCGGACCTCCAACCCCAACTGAAGTCATAACTGGAGCGTGGACCGGTCTCGATCCCATTTCGCGAGTCACGTACGGACTTATCGGGGCCAATAGCGGTGTTCATCTTAGCAGCTTTCTCGTGCCTAAAGCCTGGGATGCACTATGGCATACACCCGCTCGCAACGTCAACTACACTCAATTTACATCCATGTTTGTACATGCTGGAGCTCTGCATTTTTTCGTCAACATGTATTTCTTGAACAACTTCATGGCACCAGTCGGATACTCGCGACTGTTCGAGGGTAGCCCGTATCATACGTTGTCGTTCTTCCTTTCGGCAGGTGTGCTGTCGGGCTTTGCTCAACACTGGCAGACATGGAGTACCCGCATACCTTTCCATCGACGGCCCATCCCCGAGATCTTCATCAAGTCCGGAGGTGCATCAGGAGCACTTTTTGGAATATTAGGGGTGTTCTGCATGCAATACCCGAACGCTGGAATAGGGATATTGTTCATTCCAGTACACTTCGATGCGCAATATGTACTGCCTGCGATCCTTCTTTTCGATCTCGTTGGCATCATTCGCGGTTACAGCTTCGTGAACTTTGGCCACGCAGTAAGTTCAACGCGCATGACTCCACGGGACTTACTAACATCATTAGGCTCACTTCGCCGGCGGGATGCTTGGCATAGCATATTCATACTTTGATGGTAAAACAAACCTTTGGAAACCGCTAGTGCGCCACTGGAAACGCCGCCTACAGTCCTAGATCGTTGGGGGATCGAAAATCATGAAGGACAAATCAAACGACCAGTTGGAAAGCTGCAAACTTTCAGACAATGTACAACGGCGTCGAAAGTCCTAACAAGCCACATCCACGATGGACACTCCTCTCAGTACATGCATTAGGACAAAGAACACAAACATTATCAAACTCCACATCTGTCCAATGGATGCGCAGTCGTATTTACACCGGAAACATCAGACGATGCATTTCTTTCACGTGGTACAAACCGATGATACTGTGGCCGATAGCTTATAAGAGCAGGAATCTCACAAGCCCATTGTCTTCTCGAAAAAGACATCGCAACCATCAGAGACTCACACGACCATCCGAAACTAAAACATGCCTTTCAAGATACCGAATGACAGTGTCACTATTACGGTCAAATCCGACAACGGGCACCTTGTTCCGATCGAGCTCAATGATCGGGTACTCAGAAACTGTCCGGTAATCAACGCAATGCCCTCGGGTACCATACTACCAAACGTGCAAGTGAAGCCTTTTCAGGTCGTGACGAATTATCTGGACGGCGACCATCTCCCATCGGTCTTCGCGAGTCACGTCGACAGTAGTGCGCCTTTGCTCCTCTTCGCTCAAACGTGGGCGCTCGCGGCGCGACTTGGTCTTCCTATCTTGCAGAATGAGCTCATATCGGTTATGACCGATATTCACGCCAGAATCATTAACGGGAGCGGAACAGACTCGCGCTGGCAGAACACTGCCGATGGGTCTCTCGTCAAAGCTTTCCTCCATCTTCGAGAACAGGTCGATCGGAATAGTCATGCCGAAAAATTCCTCATATGCTTTGTCGGTAAAACGGCACCGTTCATCAGCGACCTGGAACGAAATCTCAACCGCGAACGTCATGACTCTGCTATACGAGATGAAATATTGACGGCAGCACGATCCTTCGGTCCGGATCCCATCAAACATGAGCCACAGACGTTCCGTGTCAACCCCCAACAGCCACCAAAATATCGACCCCTTGAGCAAGACTGTAACGATGCAGGTATGGATGATGGGTCTTGGTCACCCCCCGGGGCGTCATGCTCAATTACCAGGGACGACATATGGAACCTGCCTCCACAACACCGTAGATCTTCGAAACTCATGTACCCACGGCCACGCAGCCCGCTTTCCAATCGGTTCGACCATGGCTCAGGTCTATTGGTATGCACGCAGCCTGGAGACCCCAGTGATCCTGATCCAGGGTACACATTGCAGGCCATCAATTTCGAAGATCCCAATCGTCCCACTGGCGCTGGTGTTAACGTGATCCGTCTGACAGGTCAAGGCCCAGGCGGCCCACGATCGCTACCCTCCCCGGCCAACTATCATCATGACACCACATCACCCTACATCATCCAAATCACGCAGCACAACGATAACGCTCATGGAAACGGGAACCACACTCACTATGGCGACAAACACAGTACGACTGCACATGCTCAGGGTGGTAGTAGTGGACGCTCAAACCGGACTGTTCGAGCGATAGCGGATAGCGGAGAACGGCGCTACAAGCTCATCAGGGAAAGGAAGGGAAAGCAATCCAAATGGTTTTCGCTCTTGGCATACGGCAGCAAGTACTATTAAGTGCAAAGTGCGTGTTGCGAATGCCTTTGGTTTCATTGGTAGACTGTTTATTCGCCTTCGCACATTCATTACGTAGCTCCAACCAATAACTCGCTTACCAATCAGATCCTCTTGTTACCATGGAACGTTCAATCTTCATGCGCGATACCACACCCCAAAAATCCAACTCCTGACCCTCTCCCTCTTACTCATCCTGCTTTTCGCACTACCCATCTTTAGCTTATCGCTTTCCTGTCGAATTAGCTCTATGCTATTGACGGCGCGCAAAGCAAGACCACCCAAGCCTTCCACATCCACATCCTCTTCGCCCTCTTCCGGAAATTCCCCATGGCACCTTTGTTCTAGATTGCTCTGACGAGAACAAAATGCCATTCTCGTCCTCTTTCTTCTCTCGACGATGAGACTGTCGATTGCATGGAGAGCTAGGGAAGAGGTGACTTCAACGTCTTCGATCTCCTCTTCAGCTGTGTTGTGTCGTGTCTCTGGTCGTGGAAACGAAGGCGCTCTTGCGTGACAGCGTGTGAGTGGGTATGTAGAGGCATGGACACGGCTGTGTGCGGAGTCGGTTGGAGATGACATGTCTGCGTGATGTGCGCTTGATCTTTGGATTTTGGAATTTGAAAGTGCTCGGTAGTAGTTGAAAGTTGATATGGCTGCCGCTTTGATCAAGGCTGGAGATAACCGGTAGCGTGGAGGGCTGAGATCAAGTAGAGTGTAGCAGAGGCAGAAGGGATGTTGAGAGAAGAGAATTAAAATTAAGAGCAAGAGCAGACGACTTATAGCAGATTGAGAAGTCAGAACCTGCGGCTTCGTTTTCTTTCAAACTATGGGAGCCATGATGATGGTACCTTGGTTTGATGTGCCCATACATTGGTTCCAAACATGCCATCTCCTATTTCACATTACTCATCCCTCATCTCTCATTGGAAGCGAAAACTTTACGTCAGATGTACCGACTGTACGCCAAAACAGCCACTCGTATGGTACGAGCCTCAAAGCACGCGTCGCATCTCATCAGATATCGGGAAGTCAACGTCGGCTCCCGCTAACTTGATGCCAAGCGCCCTAACCTTCTCTTTCAGTTGCTTCTGTAACTGTGCAGGCATGGAAGACAGCCCACCAAGTTCTTTAACCTTCTCTCTAATCTCGGGAGGTAGCAGTGTCAGGTAGTCCATGTCGGGTGAGTTCATCATCTGCCTAAACTTCTCGTCAAACATTCCTTCGAAATCTTCCTCGTTCAGCCCATGTGAAGAGCTGCAAAGATGCTCCATGGGGATATCAGTATAGCCTAGTCCACGTAGCGTCTGACATGCAAGTATCTTCATCTGCTGTTCACATGATGTGCAGTACCAGCGTGACACCTTCTCCACACCGAGCTTCTTTACACATGACTTGTGAAAGTACGTAGTAGTACAGTCGCGATGTGAGCAAACGACAGTATCCTTCGCGGGTAATCCACCCTTTGGTGCGGTAGCACGACAGTAGCAAATGCACGTCGAACCTGGAAGCTCGAGTTCGTTGTGCTGAATATCCTGTAACATGACCTGAGTGAGCTCCTGTTTGTTGAATCCGTTCTTTGCATAAAGTCGCTCGAATCGAAGCTCTTGAGCCATTAGTGCTCCAGGTTTGAAGCCATTCTTAACGTCCTCGTACTCCTTCTGCAGACGATCAGGTACGCCATCTGGGTTGCGATTGCGCGCTCGAATAGTAGGGTCTTCCATGAGATAGTTGATCAGGTCATCGTCTACTAGCATCAAGCGGCCCTTGGTCCGATGATCCTTCTCGTACAGTGATAGTAGTTTCTCTCCACGGAGGCGGTTGAAAGGCCCGGTGCTAAATAATTCTAGGCATGGCATCACCAGGTAGCATTGGTCTCCCAGAGGGTCAACACAGGGACAATCTACGTCAGAGTCAGTATCTGCTGCTAAGCGCCAGTTGCGATGCACCTACGAGGCTCATGGAAGGGACAATCAAGAATGTTATTGTTCTCAAACGAACATGATGTGCTGTGTGAACAACCATTCCATGACGGCGGGAACGGATTTGTGAGTTGATCGCTAATAAATTTGCGGGCAAACCTAATCCAGTGCATGTGCTTGCCGTGTTTTGTGATAGGTAGTACAGGTTCGGGCAGAGGTACTGGAGACACTCCCTTAGCGAACGTCGTGTCCGTGGAGATTGGCTCTGATACTACCTCGGTAGAAGCATCGTGATCATTGACGCTCTCCGTGTACGATAGCACATCTTGAGAACTATCGCGGTCCTTGTTGTAGAGTATAGTCTCAGGTAGCATGGAAGCAGATTGTGCTAAGACGTCACCCACGTCATAGTCGTCTTCAGTGGCTTCGTTTCGGAGATCAGGAAGACTGATAGCTGCCTCCGGTATAGACTGCTTCTTTGCCTTGCGCTTTGCCTCTCGTGCCTTCTTAGCCTTCTTCCTCTGCGAGATTGCGGGATGGCCGTTGACAGAGTCTTCCGTCTCGGTCGTAAAACTCTCGGGTGCTGACATACCCCAAGCCTTTGGAGGCTTTACTGCTGGAGCTGGGCTATAAGGCTCTCCTGAAGAGCTCCGCGAGGCTGAGAGGTTTGGGAAGTCGCGCGAATCGGAAAGCCATGGAGTCGGTCCAGGCCGAGGAGCACGAGCCGGAGGCTTACTTGGAATGTTACCCCAAGCGCGCGTCTTTGCTACCGATTTTGTTGGCGTCACTCCATTTGTGACGACTTGCCATCCATCAAGAGCTTGTTGTGACTTCTTGATCCTGCCAGGTACTGTAGTCGGCCCCCGCTCTGAAGCCTTGACGTTGATCACCAGAACCGCAGCCGACTGTCTGTTCAAGGTTGGGGCGGGCGGCAAAGGTAATAGCGGAGTATGATAGGGCTCGATATCTGTATGGTAGAGTCCATCGTCGCCGTTCACGCGCTTGTGGTTGCTCTCAAGATGCCTTCGGTCGGAGATGTCAAGGGTACTAGACCGCGGCGGCGACTGGTCATCGTCCTGATCACTGGATTTCTGTCAGTTTTGAAAATGAATGAGTTGCGTAACGAACTTGGGCAGCGTCTTGTCGCGATTTTGCGGGACTAAAGATGAGGGCAAGGGCAACGAACCTGACCAGTGGAGCAGTCTCATCCGTGGGGGTGATACCGCCACTGAAATCACTCAGACTAGACGCGAATTTCTCTCCAGTTTTCCAGTCCTTTCCAGTATACCTCTCTTCTACAATACCGTACGCGGTCTTACTAGTGTATCGGAGATAGCCTGCTCGTCGCATTCGCACTTCGGCATTGTCTTTCTTGACCAGAACGATGTCCTCCAGAATCGCGTGCTTGAACGTGTCGACGAGGCCTTGGAACAGCTTGAGTTCTTTCCCTTGTAGACCCTTCGTTTTTGTGTTACGCCTGAGTAGCTCGTTGATACGGAAGGTTTCCAATATGCGGTCCATTTCGGCTTCGAAGTCAACGTTTAGAGACTCGACAGGTGCCTCGGCGAGCTTTCTGATTCCCTTGCGGCCGACTTGCGTGCTGTATACATGGGCGTGGTACTGTGGAGTAGTCAGTAATTTGACAGAGTAGATACCAAAACAACAGACTCGGCACCTACACGAAGCTGTCGCTCAATCTCCTCGATCTCTTCCGGATTCCGCGGCCCGTCCGCGTCGTTGCTCGTTATGCCCTCAGCTGAATGTACAACGGAGTCGATGTATCTAATCTCCTCCTGCGTAATGACTCTAGATCTACTAGCCGCTCTTGCCAGACGCTTTGCATCCTTCCGCTCACGCTTTGAGGATGGAGTGTCCTCATCGCCGAGATTTCTCGCTCTTCCACGTTCGTCCAGCTCAGATTCGTTCGGCACGATGTTCCAGTCGATCTCGCCACAACTCTCATAGACGGCTCGTAAGCGCTCGGCAATGTCGTGATGACGCTTGTAGTGTTGCTCATCAATGCCCATGCAGTACTTGCAAGTATGACCGCGAAGTCGCATGAACATAGCCTGGAGAGGTTAGTGCATCGTTCGCCTTGGGTATTTCCCATGCAACTAACCTGGTGGAAGCGCACGCATGGCTCGCTGTGCTTGCCGAAACAAGACGCCCTCGCGCCGGGGTGGCTCAACGGACGCTCGCAAAAGCCGCAGTGGTGTCTATTGGATTATCGTTAGCGACCGTCTGCTTTGGGTGGTTGCCTCCGGACTGCGTTCCGGTGGCCCAAACAAACAAACACCGGGCTCAGCAACTCACTTGAGCGCCTCCGAATCCTCCCACTTGAAAAGAAGACTGTTGACCATGTTAATTCTGGTTGCGCTTTCGAGATCGATCGCGACCTGGGTAGGCTGATGGCGGGAAGGCAGAGCCGCTAGGATTGGCTGCTTTGAGAGTGTGAGCGAGAAATGCACGCGCGATTGAGAGGATAATTCTGCTTGGACACGGAGTGCAGTAGAGAAGACGCGCAATAGTTTGGGATTGTGCGTGGCAACGTAGCGGGGCGAGGTGCAATGGCTGTTGACTGGTGTAACAGCGCATCCAGGGTTGCTCCGAGGCTGGCTACGTAATTGTGCGGAAAGAGCGAGTGACTGCGACAACACGACAATGAAAGATTTCTGTAGAGACAGCAACCAACGAGACTTGCGCAAATATCAATTGTGTTCGATCAAAAAGAGTACCTCCGGGTCGTTGTAAGGAAACGACTCGTCGTCGTTGCGGTGAAGAATGCAGTGAACCGACCATCCGCGAGGTTTCGCGTTGTTGCATCATAACGGCTAGGATTAGACAGGATTTTGACACCATACAAACGCGAAGACCACGAATCAAGTACCACTATTAAACATCCGACACAATGCGCGCACCTGCCCAGACATAGGGATAGTTGCGTTGATACCAGTTGACGCTTCGACACGTTAGTCATGTGGCCTCATCTGCAGCCACTGTCGTCCACTTACAAGGTCTTACGCCCAGCGATGCGCGGATGCGTTGCCCATGATCCACCCAGCGTGACATTGTGCTTACCGTCGAAGAAATCGGCTGCCTGCTGTCAGCGATATCATTTCATCGTGTGTTGAGGAGCAGAAGCCCGTCGCATTGCATCATACCTGTATAGCCTGGATACAGCTTCATCGGCTCGAAGCCGTCATGCTTCTCCAGCACAGTGCTAGTCCACTCCCAAACACCACCCAGGTCAGATTGGCCGCAGAGCTTGTTGCCCTTCTCGACAACTGAAACTGGATGCCAGTGTTTGAAGCCCACGTTCGTTCCCTCGAGGTCAACGAAAAGATTGCGTGGGTTGAGACTAGATACTGCGCCAGAGTCGCCGTTTGACAAAGCTCGGGATGGTGGTGTCTCAAAAACGCCTTCGTTGATCAAATGGCTGCAGACTGTTAGTCAAGAGTCTACGAGGATGGATAACAGGCCTCATACCCGTTCACGGCTGGAATCCTGTTTCCAAGCGAGCTCTCAAATTCCGGCTTCATGCTGTCGACATAGCTGTAGATGCTTCGTGCTTCTTCCATGGTAGGGATGCGACCGCCCATCCAATGCGCACAACCAGCTAATTCGTCGTAGGAGGCGACTACAGGCCATCCCATGACAAATTTCAAGGGAACAGTACCGTAGACAGTGCGTACAAATTTCCCTTCGGTGATACTCTGAGGTGATGCATCAACACCTTCATGGTGGCCGTTTACCACGCTGTCTCTCTTTCCAGTGGTCAGGTCCTTGGAGTTTGAGTATGGCTGTTCGCACCACGACGCAGGTATGGCTGGATTCGACAAGTTAGCAGATAAGCTCAGAATTTTGATCTATACGCGCGACAACTCTCGCGGCACAGATTACATACCTGTCTTTCCTGTCTTAGACAGATATGTGGCATACTCCCCATTTGTGATTGGCCGAGCCTTTGCGCGGAAGGACTTGACATGTGCTGAGCGGTGAGGCCTCTCGTTATCCCAGCCAAAGTAACGCTTGGTCTCAAAGTCATTCTCTGGGTCTTCGAGACCGATGTCGATGTCCGCTTCGGGGATTGTGAACCACTCGTTAGCGGTTGCTAGGGTCTCAGATTGCGCCGCAAACGCCGAAAAGTCCGGGAGTTTGGTTCCTGGAGGTGGCAAAACCTTGTCACTCTGGATCAGCATGTAGAGCAATGTCTCCAGGTGCATGGCTTCATGTTCAAAGCCGATCCACAGTGCTCGCGACACGCGACCGTTCGACTCTGCTTCTCCCGAAGTGTACAGCGCCTCAACCTTTTGTCGCACAGTCTCTTCAAACTTCAGGATTGTCTCCAGCGGGGGCCACGATTCGGGAACCTCGGAGTGAGCATGACATTGAGTTGGGTCTTCAACATCAGGGTCAACACCACGTTCAAAGATCTTCCAGAAGTAGGCGGGGTCTGACGGCTTGCCATCGGTGGCACGGGCGATGTGGATGTCCAAGAATGTAGGAATATGGCCAAGGTAGAAGATGCACTCGTTGCGAAGCTTGATCGGCTTAGATAGTAGCTCTTCTTCGGGTATCATGTCCTTCGTGACCGCGTCCCAGGCCGTCCAAAGCTCACACCACTCGGTCAAAGATGGCACCGGGTTCGCTGCGTATTCCTCGGGTTTGGTAGGGAAGAACATTGCAGGCTTCGAGACAAAATGTAGGCCATAGTCGCCCTTCGAGTTTGCCCACACAACGTTCTCTGCAAGTTTGGCCAATTCCCAGAGCTCCTTTGCTTCCTCGCGACTGTACTTGTAGGATTCTTCGATACGAACTCTCTCGCCCTGCTTGATATGAACACCGTCGACGACAGTGTCCTTGCGTGGTGCGACAAAAGCGTGATGTCTTCCAGCCTGTTCGTCGTACTCTCCAATGGCTTCCCAGTCCTGGATGTCGAAAGCTTCCTCGCCCATGAGTGCGTTTGCGTGCTTCAGCCCGTTGAGAATGAACTTGTGTGTTACACCGCCGCGATCGTTGTATGCATGGTAAACGCGCTAGTATGGGAATCTGGTCAGTGGATGTTTGCATGCCTGTGGGGACAATAGATTTACCTCGGGATCCTTGCATGAATCGATACCGATAAGCATGGTATCGCCAGTCTGGAGAACCGCACCAAATCCAGCAAGGAATGGCGGTACTTCATGGCGCTTGAAGTTGCCCAAGCTCGAGCCCAGCCAAAGGATTGTTTTCGGTTTCGCTTCGATTTCGGGAGTCTTCAGCCACTCAAGAGCATCATCATAGGTGCCATAGAGGCCAAAGCATTTGACGTGCTTGTATCCTTCTGCGTGCTTGATTAGCAAGTTTTGGGCGTTCGGATTGCCCCGTATTGCGCAATGATAAGGAGATAAGTGTCCGGGCCACTACTATGTTGAGGTGCATGTATGCAGGCTCATGTAGGTCTAAGCCACTTTCACAGGAAATTGATGCAAGCGTGTCGCACTATACAAACCCCACGACTCCCCTCAATGTTAAGCATGATAGGATGAACCCTCACCTGTAGGTATTTCCCCAAATGTTCTCTCCAGCTCCGGCAGGGAAAGATCGACAGCGTAATACTCGACGTCTTTGCCAAGACGGTCGACGGCTTGCAAGAGTATGTTGACTTTTCTGAGGTTGCTGCAAACACATTAGTATTCACGAAGCACAGGGCTCGTTTCCAATCTCTTGCGCAGTGCGAGCCAGGACCGTACCCGCTCCCCAGTTCCACGACAATGGACCCCGTCGGGATTCGTTCGGCGATTTTCTCCGCATACGTCTCAAGGACTTCAATCTCGGCATTCGTTAGGTAATACCTAACATTGCGAACATTTATCAGCTTGGTGTTTATATAAACCAAGCGTGAAGCTGCTCACTCCTCTTGGTACGTGATCTCTTCGAATAGACGAAGGCCTTCTTGGCTAAGAGGAGAGACAAAAGGTTAGCGTGCATCATGGGCTGACTAATTCGATGCTTACTCGTAAAGCAGCAACGTAGGCAGCTTTTTTTCGCCGCCACTCTCAGGCCGAAGGCCTTTCTTGATATCAGCGAGGATATCCGACTCGGCAGTGTCCGTGCGTATGTCGATTATTTTGGTCGCCATCTCTCTGGGGTGTTTGGTATTGGATGCTGTAGTCAATCGGTATGCCCCTCAAGAGCCGGTCTACTAGATGCGTCTTATGCCGAGGGTCGCGCGATACTTATACAGCGCGTAAAAGTACGTAATGTGGGTACTCGGACGCTTATGCCGTGCGGTAGCTGACGGTAACTAGAGGGCCGGTAACTGTTCAAACGGAATAGTGTAGAATGCAATGCTCCGTCAGAACGTGTACTGTTTGGCTAGCGGCTGTGGTGGTAATATCACTCGCAAACGCGCGACAAATCAGACGCGGTTTCTTCTCACGGTCAACGGCGGTGCGAGAAAAACGCTTGTTCGAGTCGAGCACATCATCGGCAGCAACCCCACCGAGGCAATCTACTCTGGTACCAATGCCATCCGGAGGCATGGTAGCTGGAACGTCAAGCACTGCTATGAGACCATAATGATGACGTCAATGTGTGCCGGCTAGGGAAAGGACGGAAGTCCGGGAGCAAAGGCAAAGAAGGTCTCGAAAACCGACGCCAAACCACGGCGTTCAGGAACACGCTGCAGGGCAGGCTGAGGCTGTTCTTCGGTCGCAAACTCTCGCCGACTGTAACATATTCGTGAATGACCACACTGCCTGCTGCGGGGTCGATGCCTTGCTGCATAAGCGATGCCGTCACAGTGGAGTCGCGAACTTGTTGACACATTACCGTGCGCTCAACCATGGCTGGGCATGGTAACGTGATTGGGAAGGCGGGCGGCTTGTTGGACGCGGTTGACATTGGCGTAGGCGGTATGGGGAGTGTCAGGTACAAGCGTATTAACGAGCAGAAACATGTGGGCAGCAACAGTGACGACGGGACCGTCTGGTGCAGGATCATCACGTGATCGGCTGTGGGCCTTGGCTTCAGCCGATGCACGACTGGGCAATAAGGTTACGATGACGCGAGGTGCAACACCGCC